TTGTCGGACAACTGAGATGAGAGAACATTTTGATAGGCCATTTGCATGTTCCACTATTTTTGTTCAAAACCCAACAGGATCCTCTCTATCTTCCATAACAATGACACATCAGAATACTCTGGTTGGTTGACGTCACAAGTCTGTGTATTGGGTGTACCAACTTCATTATTCACCACAACCTGTTCAAAAAAAAGTTCAAAATATGTTTTCCGTAAACCAGCTGTCGCACCACCCTTGCACGAGCTAAGAACTAACGAGGTCTTACCTTTTAACGTATGATTCCTAACACGTTGATCGTTGATAAACTGATTCTGCTGGATTGAATATGATCACGAAATATATTTCTTCATCAATCAATCAATGAACTATTCCCAAAAGCCATAATATTAACAGAAGTATTCAACACAATAGTATGACATCAATAAATTGATGGATGTAGCCGTTCAATGTATAAGTTTGAAAGTGTCCTTATAGGACGAAACTGAAATAACGTTATCAACAAATGAAAGTGGCAATGAATATAGTTGAAAAAACTACTTACATGGAACACTGTCATCCTCGAATCCAGATCCAATGAACAACATCAATATGTGTGGTGAAACTCTGGAATACTGTCAGGTAGCTAGACTTTTAGCAATACTCCTGGATCAAAAGCTAATGACTTAGTCATCTAAGTCCAGGGTCCACATGGCACCAAATTACATTTTTAGCACAAACTTCACGGTCAAAATCATAAGCCGTGAAGGGTGGAAGACCATTAGTCATTCCGAAAACATGTTTGGAAAAAACACCTGGTATAAATATGGATCGAAGACCAAACATGGAACGGGACCTAGAATATACCGAGCGGATAGAAATCAAACTACAGTTTTCCGCTTGGATCATACACATCCGTCTTTCAGGCGGAAGTGTATGCTATCTTGGAGTGTGCAAGGCTTATTAAATTGAGTTCTCAAAGAAATGAGCGGATCATCAAAACTGGTCTGGGAATGCCATGAGGAACTGAATGAACTTGCAAACAGGAACAAATTAACTTTGTACTGGATGCCAGGGCATTCAGGAATCACATGTAATGATAAAGCTGATGAATGCGCTAGACACGGATCATCAACTTCATGTATAGGTCCTGAACCAGCTCTGTGGGTACCAAAATCATTGGTGCGAAACCAGATTAGGAGATGGACCAATAAGAAGCACACAGAATACTGGACAAAAGTACCTGGCAACAAACACAGTAGAACCTTCATGAGGGAACCGTAATGAAGTTACTACTTCAATATAGTAGGGATCGACTCAGAATAATTACAGAGTTACTGACCGGTCATTGACCGCTTAGAGGACACCTGAATAAGATGGGGCTGTACAACGGAGACCTCAGCTGCAGATTATGCATCGAAGGGATAGAAACAGCTCTACACATCTTATGCGAATGTGAGGCACTGAATCACAGGAGGCAGGCAATATATGGACGTACAAAATTACGTCCAGAAGAATATGACGAACGTCCAACACGGAACTTGTACAAACTAGTACAGGGAAGGAGACTGATGGAATGGGTGTCGTGAGAAGATGGGAGAATGAACACAATGAACTCATAAGGCTGCAGTGTTATCTGGAGACTTGGACTAAATGGACAAGTCAGACACCTCCCAAGGGACCAAAAAAAAAACTAAAACATGAGAGGCATATATCGACAGTTTATGTGCAAAGGTTGGCAGTGCAAACTCCGCAATTAGGAATCTGCGAGACTCTGTCTCTACAGAAGTTATGAAACTCATGTATCCTGGACTGGTACAATCAAGGCTACAGTATGGACTGATCTTCTGGGGTAACTCTGCATATACTGACCGCATTTTCAAGGTTCAGAAAAGAGTCATTTGTTGTATGGACAAGTCTCGTCCACTGGACGCTATTTAAAAAATTTTGCATCTCACCATTGCCGTGCCTCTACATAGTACAGCTAGTGTTATTTATCCATGATAATAAACACCCATATCAAAAACAACTCTGATATACATAATTACGCTAGTCGGGGTGAAGATTCTTTATACCATCCCTAGTCTCGTTTGAGTGTGAGTGAGAATTCCCCAAAATACTTGGTTATTAAATGCTTTAATAAAATAACAACTTTTATAGGGACCAATAAAAGTACAGCTGTAATAAGGAATGAACTATATGGTTTCTTGTTGGATAACTGCTTCTACAGTATTGATGAATTTCTTGCTTTTAGTGCTTAGATAAATGACATAGTCTCTTCATACATGTAGTCTTTGTTTTAAATTTATTCAAGATCATACATTTATGTTGAGCTTTCAGCGTTTAACTTTTTTGACTTGTCCAATAAGTTTACTCATGTTTTTAATCGTGTGATTGTGTATGTGTGAAAATTTTAGTGATGAATAAAATTATTTCTATTTCTATTTCTAGTGGGCATTCGATATTTCGGTATGAGACACTTGCTTTATCGCCTATTCAGCACCAAATTTGGATAACATCATATGCATTCATAAAATCACGACTTTATGTCACGGATGAGTTCACTCCACTCATGTCATCCATGACAGTACACAATGACATTCAATTGCTCATTTGATTGAATCCCAGCCATAGGAGTTACTCCATTGCAGGAACTATACATTTTCCTATACAGTTAATTTTTGAAATTGATTGCTTTCTTCCTTCCTTTGGGTGATTCTCACATTTTTGAAGATGGAAGTAGGAAGTCACAACCTTTCTTTTTCAAAAACCTTCCCTGAAGATATACCCTTTCAATTGAGGCAAGATTTCTATGGATATTACTGGAGTTTCACCCCAACAGTAAACCGTTGAAGGTTGAAACAATTTTAATAATTTCACTTTTGTACACATGAAACTGTTAAAGACATTGTTTGTCCTTCAAAGATTGATATTTTTGCTGCGAATGAAATTTTATTGACAAATAAAAATTCAAGCATGCCACTCATTAATTAATGTTTTTGGAAATTAATAATTATACAAAAATTCACTCTGTTGACGTATTAATTTCCTATCGCAAACTGGACTGAGTTTGTTCAAAATAATATAATCTTATAATATCTAAGTACTTTTAAACTGTTATCACTATACAGACCGTTTCTTTTATCATGTGGTATCATTGCCATATTCTGAACCGCAAGAGATACGAAGACGATTAAATAAGAAAAAAGGTAACTGTCATCGGGAAGAATACAATGGCCGAAAAAAAATTACGGGGACTCTCGAAATTTTCGAGTTATTCGAGAAAAACAAAAAATGCCGTTTTTCCTTTTTTCGAAAGGAATTTAAAATTTTATTCAAACAACGATAAAAATAAAACAAAAAAATGAAATAACAATGGAATTGTTTTTTCAGAGAATATTAAAAAATGGGAAGAAAAATGTTATTGTATTTGAAGTGTACTATGACGATCTGATAATAAATATTCGATAAATCGTTTCGTGTCAACATGGGCACCATCAACCTGTTTTTAAAGACGGACCAGTCTTTTTCATTACAGATATTGATAAAGCAATAAATTCACAATCCGAAGGTATATCTTATTTGATATTTTTATAGCGTTTCATTTGAAATAACCACCATTATCAGTGACAACAAAACAGAAAAACAATTTATTTCATCATGAACTTTTATAAAAAGGATTACGGCAATACAAAAATGTCCAAAACGAAAAAATACGAATTTTCATTATGTTAGGGTATGTACCTTTCGAATTGATTGGGTTGTCTGAATTTTATTCTGAAGAAATCGAAACAATTCACAAAAGGAGTAACGACAGGACCGTAATTTAAAATTGTTGTCATTGATGACGGTAGTTATTTCAAATCAAACGCTATGAAAATATAAAATGTGATATACCCTTGGATTGTGAATTTATCCACAATATCATCACAATATTCATCAATATCTGCATTAAAAAAGACAGGTCCGTATTAAAAAAAAGTTGATGGTGGCCATTTTGACATATTTATTATCACATCATCATAATACATTTCGAATACAATAATATTATTCATTTCCAATTCTTGATATTCTCCGAAATAACAATTCCATTCGAAAAAAACTAAAAACAGCATTTTTGGTTTTCCCCGTATAACTCGAAAATGGCGAGAGTCCCCGTAAATTTTCTCCGACCATTGTATCTGTTACGGATTAGGTCTAGAATATAGCAAATGATAATAAAAACGGCATGTTGTGTGGTATTTCATATTTTCTATGTATATTTCTCATGCTTAATTGATTGATAAAATAAGTATATTGCAGAAAAGAAGACCTTCACTCGATAATTAAGACAGAGTAACTTCACTAGCGTGAACTAAGAGTCTGCGAAGTATTCCACTACATTTTTACTTTTTCATAACAAGCAGGAAGTATACGATCGAAGAAATTCAAAAAATGCAAACAATCAATTTCAAATCAGCGTATTTATTGAAATCCATAGACTTTACAACACTACATATGAGCCTGTGTATGGAGAGTACGCAGTATATCCAGCAGAGTAAACCGAAGGAGCAACATAACTAGCATATGTCAAAGGAGCAGAGTAGGCAGATGTGTAGGCAACTGGAGCGGCTACAACGGGGGCGGTATAGGCAGCAGCAATAAGACTGGGATCGGCTTTTGGATCAGCTTTGGCTTCAGGTACAGGGGTAGCTGCTGCGAAAGCGAAGACGGCCACAAAAATACACTGCAAAAGAAACAGTATTACTCATTCGATGTTTTTGATACTTTTTTGTGTATTTTGGTTATGAATATTTTTCATATATGGCTTTTCAAGGAAAAAATCTTGAAGATGGATATAGAAACAAAATGAGTGGCAGGCTTCATATTGGTGAAATATGAAAACTATCATAATGTCAAACTCATTAGGAAAACATATGAGAAAGAAATAACAGTAAAAATAATGTGAGAATTCAGTTCTTCTTCATTTTTATACACAATTTCATTACGTTCATGCTAACATTCTCTGCAAATGTTTATGATTTTCATAAGCAGTTCTATATAATCGTAATGATTAGCGTCTCAATTTCACACCAGTTGATATTTCAATCATTTGTTATTGAACTTTATTCATTGATTTTTTTATATCTAATAGAGATACTCGACTCATCTCAAGAAACGACAAATCTGAAGAGACGCCTCATATGGCAGTTTAACAAAAATGCATAATTCAGTGTTATATCGTATGCAATTTCTATTGAATATGATATGTAATATCCAAGACATTTTTTACACGTTCTTCACTTACCAATTTGAACATTTTGGATTCAGTTTGAAAAACAATCTTCGAGTGATGTGCTTCATCAGAATGACATGGTATTTATACTACCAGAAAGTGGTGTTGAATTCAGTAAATGATTGACATTGTCATTGAACTCAATCGATAAACATGCATCACACGCGCTCGAGTAAAAAAAGTTACGCAATATCTGATGAAGTGATGTGAAGCTTAGTAATCAAAAACTTTAGTATTGAAGATGTTTGTCATGCACTAAAAAAAATAAAGCCTAAATTTACTGCGGGACCTGATCATATTCCAGCATACATCACTAAAGATTGTGTCTCAGCTCTGGTTGAACCACTAACAACTGTAATTAATATATGCCTGAAAACATCAACTGTACCATCAATAAGAAAAATGTCGAAAGTCTGCCCAATTGAAAAAATGAGATAAAAGTGAGACAAAAAATTACAGACCAATTTCTATCACATGCAACTTTTGTAAAGTGTTTGAGATGTTTCTTGAGAAGACAATCTATTGTCATGTCAGCAATATTATTAGCCCCAATCAACACAGTTTCATGAAAGGACGTTCAACCACCACCAATCTTGTAACAATCACTCAATGTATTGCAGAGGGTATTGATTATCAGCCTCAGACTGATATCATCTACACTGATTTTTCTAAAGCGGTCGACAGACTTGACCATAGTATCCTGCTCAACAAGCTTTCGAATTTTGGGTTATCCAATGAATCAATTACCCTCTTCAAAAATATTTTTACAACCGTAAGCAGTACGTACATCTCAATGGCCTGAAGTCTATCGAATATATAGCCACATCTGGTGTACCACAAGGATCAAATCTAGCACCCCTACTGTTCAATATGCTCATCAATGATATCGAAGCTGAGATTGATGTCAATTTTCTTTTATACGCAAATGACTTGAAACTCTATCACAATATAATATGTTCTTATGATTGCGAACGTATCGCCCTGAATTTAAATCGCGTTGCTACATGGTGTCGAAAGAATAATCTATATCTCAACATATCCAAATGTAATGTAATGTCTCACTCATTGAAAACGAACTTGCATTTACAGAACTACGTCATAAACAATAAAGTTCTAGAGCGTCCTGACACACTCACTGATCTCTTTCAATAAACATATTGACACTACTCTAACAGCAGCTTATCGCATGTATGGATTCTTAGTTAGAAATATAAAAGACTTCGAAAAAGCTCCAACATTGAAATTACTCTATTTCACTTTTGTTCGATCTAGGCTGGAATATGCATCCGTCGTGTAGAGTCCCTACTATCAGGTTCATATAAATCAACTAGAAGCCCTACAGAGGCGCTTCCTAAAATATATGTCTTTTAAACTTGAAGGCAAGTATCTCACTGTAGGAATACCCTATCATGAATTGTTTGTAACTCATAATTTTTGTAGTCTGGAGGTAAGCCGTAAATATTATTCTTTTTTTTAATTCAAGGTCATAAAAACAATATCATCACCTGCTCTCAACTGTTACATATGTTGAATTTTTGGGTTCCTACACGGTCATCTAGAAATAGTGTCACATTTTATCTCAACACTCAAATATACAAATATAATGAAAAAAACTCTGTAGTTTATTGAATGTGCGATACCTCTAATTCTGTTAGTCATGTCCTAGATATATTCAACTGCCAGATTATACAAATTAAAAGACATTTCTCAGCTGACTGACAGTTCTGTTTTCATTCATTTATTTTTTTTATATAGATTCACAAATTATATTATGTAAGTACATATTTGTAAATGCCAAAAAAAACCTGTTTCGAAACACTTACACTACGAGAGACTGAAATGAAGATGTGAATCGGTCGTAATTTTGATTGGTGACTCTGATAGTGTAGTTCATTATTGCGCCTGTCTAGGAAACAGGAGAGCCGAGAAAGAAAGTGGCTTTCTACCACTCAATCTTGATACAAAAAAATGTGTGTATCTTTTAAAAAAAGAAAGAAAGCAATCTATCTCTGAAAATTAACTCAAAAATGTGTAGATCATGCAAAGAAGTGAGATTCAGACACAAACTGGAAGAAAAAGCCCCCTCGAAATAGCTACTTTCATATAAACATTGAATTACACGAAAGAAATAATACGAATCCAGGTAGGGTTACATTTTTCTAGTCAGTTTTCATTTCATGCATGCCTGTATTCCACAAATATGATTTTCCATATTGCTAATTTCTCCCTCTAGGGCTCCAGGATGACGGACCTGGATTAAATCGAGTAACTAGCCCCGGAGAGCAAACGATTTTGGAAAAAATATTGAAAGCAATCCCAAAGCATAAGAAAGCAAAGATATGAAGGGAAGCCTGCAAGCTTGATGAATCGGGTGGGATAACCTTCAATTCTCAAAGAAAGTCTTCCGCACAATCGACAAAAGTCTCACTTGTACAGGCAGAAGCACCCTCTACAGAAATCGGTGGAGAAGAGAATTATTTCTACGAGTACCGTATTTAGGTAGATACAGTTGAAGAGGTATTTTTTTGATTAATCTCTAAGTGTGAAAGACAGATACATTATATTTTATTATATTTTAGACTTGATACGGAAGTCTGACAGAAAGTTATGTTGAGAAAACAAAAAATTTGACTGTTATGCTAGATATCAGTCAATACATTAGGTCTAATAAATGAAAGGTACATGGGAAAACATAGAATAGGGGAAAATAGAATTGGAAAGTGTAAAGCCACCTACACAATATTATCTGTTTGAAAATCTGTTCAGAATCTGTTTTTCCGTTGATCAACTGTCGCACCCCTACGAACGACAACCCTCAGAAGTCAAAACTTGTGCGAGCTAAGGATTAACGCTATACACCTGCTGCTATACATCCTCAAAAAGAGAAATCGGTTCGTGAATGGATTTTTCCAGTGAAAAAAAAGTTAGCTTGGATGCATAATGTACACAATAATCATGTTTGTGACGAAAAGAAGCCGACGGAGGATTGAACAGAATTGGATAAGTGGTCAATTTCTTTTCTCGAAGTGCTTGGAGAATGATTTAATGTATTCCTTGTGATCCAAGTTCATGAAATTCATGTAAAATAAAGTGCACTTTCTCTTTTGTGCATAATAACTCCACGAAATCAAAGGAATCATCTAACAAGAGGGTATTTAACTCATTATGTCCCGAAGTCATATCCTCACAAACACACTCGAAAATGAGGTTTCTGATTCTTCTTGTGTTTGCAACACTAGCGGAGATGATATATACTAACAAGTTCAATTTGATTTTGAAGTTTTTAGAGGAGAATGATTCAAAAGCATGCATTTTTCTTGTTTGCTGGAATAAGTATGGTGAGTGGCAATCAAAAACATTTTCAAACTTATCAAAAATGTATCGACAGTCAATCATAAATCAACAAATAATTGATTTTCAATGTGTCATGTAGAAATTCCGTCATATGTTTGTAGTAGACTTGTCGGACAACTGAGATGAGAGAACATTTTGATAGGCCATTTGCATGTTCCACTATTTTTGTTCAAAACCCAACAGGATCCTCTCTATCTTCCAGAACAATGACACGTACACCTTCCGTACTGATCTGTTTGATATTTGCGATTCACCAGAATACTCTGGTTGGTTGACGTCACAAGTCTGTGTATTGGGTGTACTAATTCCATTATTCACCACAACCAGTTAAAAAAAAATGTTCGAATGTGTTTTCCGCCAACTAGCTGTCGCACCACCCTTGCACGAGCTAAGGACTAACGAGGTCTTACCTATTAACGTGTGATTCCTAACACGTTAATCGTTAATAAACTGATTCTGCTGGATTGAATATGATCACGAAATATATTTCTTCATCAATCAATCAATGAACTATTTCCAAAAGCCATAATATTAACAAAAGTATTCAATACAATAGTATAACATCAATAAATTGATGGATGTAGCCGTTCAATGTATAAGTTTGAAAGTGTCCTTATAGGACGAAACTGAAATAACGTTAGTAACAAATAAAAGTGGCAATGAATATAGTTGGAAAAACTTAAAAACACGCTTTTAAAGAACATCGAACCAGAAAGTTGGAAATAGAAGTATTATCGTGACAAAAACGACGGGTGCTTGATATACAAAAAATATGACACAAAGCGCCCACGCTTTTTTCACAATAATATTAATATTTTTCGTTCGTTATTGTTTTAAGCTCATTAAAGAAAATTTTTCAAATTTTCAGTTCGATGTTCTTCAAAAGCGTGTTTTTTAAACCATATTAATGTTTCAGTTTTCAGTTTCGTATGCTATAAAAGCGTGCTTTTTAGTCTTTTTAAACTATATTTATTTCATCAAAACTTTGAGATCAATCAGCCGTATATTGTTTAGAATAACGACCATTGATATTTTCCGATTCTGGAGAGGGGCCTGAAAATCAGTAACCAAGCCGAAGGCAGCAGGCGCGCGTGTTAATAAAAAATATTTTTTTCAAATGAAGAAATACATGTAAAGTGAGTTCGAATTATATCAAGGAGGTTACGTATACCGCCATCTGCCCGTGAATAGATCAAGCAAGGAGAGTTACAAACAAACATACAAACATAAATACATTCAGGTGAAGCTAATAAAAGCGTGTTGAAAAAACATAAGAAGTTCCAATTATCTTTTCTCCAGTATAACATCAGTATTCTGCCACATTGAGAAAAAACCTTCATAACTTTTATAGAAATTCAATAGGCAGCAATCAAAATGCTCATCTACAGATATACATACGTGACTAGGGCACAGCTTACTTGACACAAATACATGAAAGAACTAGACACTGTTAAATTCTTGCTATTGAACACTGACAAATTACTCGAAAAAGTACTACTCACAAGTGAACTGGAACATTTAATAAGTACCTATCTCCTATTATTACATAGTTCAATTAGCTAAAGCCAATTGCGGAAAAGCTCAGTCTCAATATCAATTTACTCGTTCTTGATGAACTGTGTATTTGTCATAGTTGAATCAAGTACTCATTCTGTAATCCCTTGACAACAAGGAGATTGCGGTTGCTGAATTTCTTGATATTGAAGGAGCATTTGACAATGCACTACCTAAATCTATAGGATTGTCTCT